CCTGCTGAGGCAGGCTGGTAAAAGCCTGGTTGTCAACCCAAAAGGTTTCACACAACCCATGATTTCATACAAGCAGACCTCACCTCCTTAAGCAAGAGGCTATAGATTTTATAGTCATTAAACTAAACATTCTGTAAAATAACCTTTTTTTCAGTTTATTTGCCTGGCTGAGCTTTCAGTTTGTCTAGATTACCCTCTCCTCTTTCTCCTTTCTGCCTTGTAAAGAAGATTTGTGAGTGTAGCTCACAAATATTTCGCCATTGCACCTTGTAAAGAATATCTGTGAGTGTGGCTCACACAACAACTCATTCCTCGTCAGCTTGCGCTGCCATCAGCACTTCCACAGCTTGCTAGACAAGTCACAACAACCTCTAAGGGACAAGTAAAGGACTTGGACTTCCACAGCCTGCACAGGATCAAACTACAGAGCTCTGGAATAAAGAGAGATTTATTTGGACAGCATTTGGAATAAAGCAAACCTGAAGCCGACTGAACTCTTAGGACTGCAAACCATCATGTCATTGACACCAAACCCCCCGCGCGTGTCAAAGGCCACACATACCTCTCCATTTCCTGGAGAATATCTGGTAGGAGCTCTATGTCTTTTGTGACCTTGAACTTCTTCCCAAATGGAATATCCGAAATCACAGCGTCAAAGCTTTCTGAGGGCAATGGCAACGCTGCAGAATAGAGGGGCAGGGCTTTACATCTGACTACATGAAAAATGAACCAGCAGCTACGCTCTGATTCACCTTACAAAACTCTTCGTAAGCTGAATTTAATACAATTAAATTAAACAGTATTCCCTGAAAATAAAACAAACAGTTTCAGAACAAATATGAGGCCTTGGTACTTATTTTAAAAATGTTCTTTAAGCTTCAATGATTGTTTGCTTATCTACAGTCATGCTGAATAAAGCTATAGCTAAATGGAAAGTTAAATGTATTCACGAGGTGTTAATGTCTACATTTTATTATTTGCAGTCTCTCAGAGAAAGCAAAAGTAACTACAAATGTTATGTAACTACGTAACATAACAAGTGCTACGCCAGAAACTGGTTTCTTGACCAACAATGTTGCTCCAGCATGGAATGAACTGGTTCATTCTAAAGCGGTCAGAGTTGTTGAGGACAAGAGGCTTTGTATTTGAATATGGCACGTCTTTTGGTCCGTGTGAAAACAAATTTGAATGTTAAATATTTTTTCCTGACACTTTGGAGTTACTGTTGCTCTTCCCATTTTCTTTAGGTCAACATATGGTTCATGGCAATACTGTACAGGTCTAAAATCTCTTTACACAAAGTAGCCTGGGGTGCAATGAGTGACATGCGGTTCACCTCTACGCGGTGCTGGATCAAACTGCAAGAGGGAGTATTTTAGAGTATCATCAAGTTCCATAATTGCAGCCTGGTTGCCACAACAGTAACAACAATTTGGAGCACTGAAAATTGTTACTACATTATCATAGAATCATAGAATCATAGAATGGTTTGGGTTGGAAGGGACCTTAAAGTTCATCCAGTTCCAACCCCCCTGCCATCAGCAGGGACACCTTCCACTAGACCAGGTTGCTCAAAGCCTCATCCAACCTGGCCACAAACACTTCCAGGGAGGGGCATCTACAACTTCCTTGGGCAACCTGTTCCAGTGTCTGACCACCCTCACAGTGAAGAACTTCTTCCTAATATCTAATCTAAACCTCCCCTCTTTCAGTTTAAACCCATTTCCCCTTGTTTTGTCATTAGTTGCCCTTATGAAAAGTCCCTCCCCAGCTTTCTTGTAGCCCCTTCAGGTACTGGGAGGTGCTATAAGATCTCCCTGGAGCCTTCTCTTCTCCAGGCTGAACAGCCCCAACTCTTTCAGCCTGTCTTCATAGGAGAGGTGCTCCCGATCATGGCACCAGTTGTACCCCTCCAAGCTCTTTTGTTGGTTATACACCCAGATTCATAGCTCCTTCTGGACTTCTCCTCACAAATGGCACTACAAAGCCACCAACCCAATGCAGACTGGGAAGAGACAAATGCAGAAGAGCCTGGTTTAACTTGCAGATTCCCTGTTACTGGTGATATGTTTGCCCAATATCTAGACTATCCAAACAGAGGACTGTCTGGTTCCAAACTAACCGCTGCTTCTCACCACGCAGTACATCTTTACAAGCAAAATGCAAAAGGAGTTAAGCCTGCAAGCACTGTACTTAGTGCAGACCCTCAGATGCACGTGTATGAATGACAAGGAACCACACATTAAATTCCTCTCCATCCTCCTTTTCTTCCCCCGAGCATCTGGTTACAGTCACAATCACTTGGATTCTGTCGGAGTAAGTGCCTTTGAAGCACCTCCCCAGAGTTTCTCTATCCTGGGAATAGTTCTCTATTGACCATGAGGCAGCACTGCACCCTTGTGGTGATGAAGGTCAGCCACCTATGGATTCTCCATCCCTCAGGATGTTCTGAGCTCGACTTGGACAAGGCCCTGATCAACCTCACCCGGATTTAGGGTTAGCCCCACTTTAGAGTTAACAGATGAAAAGACTAAAGATCTTCAGCAGTCTCTTCTCACCTAAACCCTGCTGTGATGCTATGCCAGCCTTTCCAGAACTGGTTGGAGATGTTTCTTGGACCATCCTTGGATCAACACTTGCAACACAACAATTTTACAACAATTTTATCTACAAATGGAAGGACAAGTTACCTACAGTCCTGCACAAGACATGCAGAAATAACAGCTTCTGACCAGTGACAGAGACACCAATTACTTGTTCAGTATTGGAAAAACCTGGCATCAAAGTACCTTCCGTTATCCTAGAAGCCAAGCCTAGTCACACCTTTTAAGTAAGAAATAAAGCTACATCTATTCTTATAAAAAAATAAATAATATTTCTTACCATTCTGGTAAGATATAAATATTGCAAGGTAAAAAAATATACATACTTCATCACCCATGCACAGGGTAAAACAGCCAGCTCTTGTCTGTCCTGAATTTCATATAGGACTAATTTAGACACAGGCTCTGAGGCCCAGAATAAGGTCATAAAATTATTACCTTCTCCAGAGACTAGCTCATGAACTGAGAGCAAACAGAATCCCTCCCCCAGGGGAAAGGCACTGTCATTTAAAATACTCCTACTGCAAACATCAACACTTCAGCTGAGCTTAATGAGTCCCCATTATTACTCATCTGGGAAATTCAAGTTACCAGCCACATTTTATCTGGATTTGTCCTTGCTGTGTTCCTGCAAGGCACAAAGAACTCTGACATAGTATGAACTCCTTGTAGTATCCACAAATTTAGCATTAAGGCAGACAACTTACTGCCAATGTTTGACACTTATTATTTTCATTGTCTTCTGCTGAGTTTATTCTTGACAAAGTTCCCGGGTGTAAGGAAGGGAGAACAAGTAATTATTCATTTGCTAGCACTACAGAGTTACTACTTGGCTGTTTCTTGAAATGAGCTCTACTACACATCCCTGCAAGAGAACCTGTACTCCCTGCATAATCCCAGAACCACAAAAAACTTCAAACATGTCTCACTTGGAAAGCTTACAGACATACCTTTCACAGAAGCTTTAAGTAACTCTATCTTATCCATCAAGCCTGCAGTCCTAATATTCACATCTGCACCCTCTAACTGTGAATCACTTATATCAGCACCCCAGTAACAGGCTTCCTGATCAGAGAAAAAGAGAAAAGTCATTTAGTTGACAAGCAGGTGTCATTATTTTATAAACCCTTCTCAGAACTGCCCTGTCACACAGCTCTTCCCAGACAAACCCCTTGCTGGGTGATCTCGTACCATCACACAGAGCAATACAGAGACCCAGAGGACAGAGGAATGGGGGACATCTGTGCTATCTTCACTCCTTTCATGTTCAAGTATGCTCACAGCACTTGTAACTTACAGCAATATTGAGGCTACATCTGAGGCAAGACCCCAAGCAGCTACAAAGAGCCACGCTGCCTCTAGTACCGACAACTGACTGTACTGTCACACTGATGCCTCTGATCCCAGGATAAGCCCAGGCAGTTTTAGAAGTCCATGGTTGCCTGTCCTGGTTTTGCTAGGATAGAGTTAATTTTCTTCTTAGTAGCTAGAATAGCTGTGTTTTGGTTTCAGTGTGGGATTTGCTATGAGAAGAATGTTGATAATGTACAAGGACGTTGTGTTTGGGTAGTTCGCAAGTGCAAAGGAGTGGGTTGGGGGAAGTGTAGTAATTAGCAAAACCCAGAGTTGGTGTTTGGCTCTGCCAATGAGTTATTTCATATCATACCACGTCATGTTCAGTATATTAATCAGGGCTGACTGGAAAATGGGAGGATTCTCTCAGGCATCGCTCAGGCTTGCGCTTCCAGGACTGTGGGTGTGGGTTTGGGGTTCCTCACCACTCCTCTGGGATCATTGTCAGTGGGTGGCAATTGTACTGTGCATCACTCATTTATATATATATATAGTTGCTACCACTATAATTATCATTACTATTTTAATTTTATTTTACTCTAATTATCAAATTGTTCTTATCTCAACCTACCAGTCTCCTTACCTTTACCCCTGCAATTCTCCCCCCTAGTCCCTGGGTGGAGGGGAAGGGAGGGGTGGGAGCAAGTGGCTGTATATCCTTTGGGTGCCAGCCAAGTTAAACTATCACATTGCCTCCCACAAACCCCGCGATATAAATACAGGGCTGCCAGCACCCGCCCACACCAGTACGTAGGACTTGGATTCACATTCACGTGGAGGAACATTTGTACTAAACCCAACTGCCTAGAAAAATCAGTTTGGTTCCAGCTTTCCAGTAAATGGACTTTGATATGACTGTGGGACAGATTTTTTTGGATGTAACTACAAGCTGTCTTGCACAGGTCTGGCCTGTTGCCACTGTGATACTCACGGGCCATTCTTTGGCAGCTTCCAGCAGTATTGTTCCCAGCCCACACATGGGATCCAGCACAAAGGCACCAGCCTACAAAAAAAAAGGGGTTATTGCATCCCAAGCAAGACAGACTCCTCTCCTGGGACAAAGCTTACCCAGGGATGTACAGATCACCTACATGCACCCACTGAATCCACTGTAGGTAACAATAATCATTGCTTTACCAAGCCAAACTTGCTTGCATGAGAATACAGTAAAAAGCATTAATAGTTTCACTAAAGACAATGCCTCCATCCAGGGGGGTTGGACTAGATGATCTTTCGAGGTCCCTTCCAATCCCCAGCATTCTGTGATTCTGTGATCCATGTTTCCAGCCTTGAGGTGACATTTAGGGAAACAAATTACAAGTAGACTGCAGATGGGTATTGGTACCAAATTAATCTGTGGAAAAGATCACTCTTGCTTCTGTTTCTACAGAATCCCAGACTCATGGGGGGGTTAAAAAGGACCTCAGGAGATCATCCAGTCCAACCCCCCTGCCAAAGGAGGTTCCCCTAGAAGGAAGTTGCACAGGATGGGGTCCAGGTGGGTTTGGAATCTCTCCAGAGATGGAGACTCCACAACCTCTCTGGACAGCCTGTCCCAGGGCTCTCCACCTTCACAGTAAAGAAGTTTCTCCTCATCTTCAGCTGGAACTTCCTGTGTTCCAGTTTGTGCCCGTTGCCCCTTGTCCTGTCACTGGCCACCACTAACAAGAGTCTGGCCCCATCCTCTTGACACCCGCCCTTTAGATATTTATAAACATTTATAAGATCCCCTCTCAGTCTTCTCTTCAGGCTAAAGAGTCCCAGCTCTCTCTCTCTTTCCTCATAAGAAAGACGCTCCAGCCCCTTAATCATCTTTGTAGCCTCCGCTGGACTCTCTCCCTTGGGAGAACAACCCCAAACAAGGTTTGAAGCCTGAACAGTGAAAAAAATCTTGCCATTTAGACATACATGTTCATACAATGAATAACTTCTCTCCTGAGAAGGGGCTGGGATGACAGCACAGCGAGTGACAGCGCACTGTGATCAAATAGATACAGCACACCCTGTCCACGTGTGTGAGAACATGAGGCATTAAAATCACCACGCTTCCTCAAAGCTTCCAGCTCCAGCCCTGAGAAGGAGCAACCCCCCCTTCATTCAGGACTCTACATCTTTGCCACACACATTCACTTACACTGATTTCAGCCAGAGATGCCATAGCCCACGCAACTGTTGACCGCAGTCCTGCTGTTTTGATATATTCTCTGTTTGCCAACGGAAGCCTGTCAACAGCAAAAAAAAATCCATGTGAGATAATGGTACAACCACCCAGAAAAGCCCTTGTAATGGGAAAGAACAAATGAACTGGACAGATCTGCAGACAGACAGATAGAAACCACAGTCTGCTTTTATTCACAACTCACTGCAAAGTCTGGCCTATGTGCTCAGGTAAGCTCCAGAACAAACACAAGACAAATGGGACAGTGCAGTGAATATTGAACCAGAAGATAAATATTCACAGTAGGCAGCAAGGCTATTTAAAAATTAAGCCTGTTCTGACACTACCAAAGCAAATCTGGTGAGAACTCCTACCTGAAAAGAGGAATCCCCACCACAGAGTGAACGTCATTAAGATGTATAAAGATCTGAAAGAGGTAAAAATAACATTAGAAACTGTCAACCTGACATGACAATAGCTTTATGTCATTTAAACCAGGCACAGAAGGCATCTCTACAAACTTCTGATTCTAGTTTTTAAGAACAAGAATACATGCTTTAGATAATTATGATTAATTGGAAGAAATGACACTAGGAAATCTGAATGCCTCTTTAAAGAGGATTTAATAGTTCAGTTAGCTGGGAGAAGAATTTTGTCAGCCATGACTCCATCAGCAAGCACTTCAATCTTTAAGGGAACTGGTTTTTGTACCCCTGAATGGATATTTTTTAATTATAAAACCAATTAGTCTAAGCAGGAGAAGATTATTCACTGTATACTAGCACTCATTCATGTACCACCCTCCTCTAAAAGAACAAAGACACAAAAAAACCCCCAACCAAAACAAAAAACCCACAAAGCCATGAATGCCACCAAGGGGCATTTCAGATGGAAGGCACACATGAGTAAACCTTCCAGAAATATAGGCAGTTCAAAGACACTGTCCTCCTGTCCCACAGAAGCATCCCAAAAGATGATTGAGCTTCCCAGCAGGTCTTGCATGACTGCAAATCCTCTCAAGGAAGCCCAAAGAGAAACCTGATGCTTTTCACAGAATCACAGAATTCCCTCTCCAGGAAGACCAAAGAGAAACCTGAACAGAATCACAGAATGTTGGGGATTGGAAGGGACCTCAAAAGATCATCCAGTCCAACCCCCTGCCAGAGCAGGAACCTAAAGGAGATCACACAGGAAGGCGTCCAGGCGGGTCTTGAATGTCTCCAGAGAAGGAGACTCCACACCCTCCCTGGGCAGCCTGTCCCAGGGCTCTGGCACCCTCACTGTAAAGAAGGGTTTTTTTGCAATATCCCTGTTGTCAGCACTTGAATGGTTTCAGAGGAAAAATCTGGGCAAGGACAAGAGCCCCATTTGAGGCTCAACAAAGCCGTATTTGATGCACAGCCTGGGAAAAACAGAGCTGGGAGATAAATTTGGAGCTTTTACAGAAGGCCTCAGACCTCCCGGTGTCAGTGCTGAGAGCTGCTTCCACACACCAGGCACAGGGATGGAGAAACAGCTTGTCAAGAGCAACGAGTTCTTTCCAAGGTCTCCAGACAGCTTGTACCACAGAGGGTGTCTTAAGCAAGGGTCTGGGAGGAGGCTCCTCCATAAACAGCTCCTCAAGTTCCTCAAGAACATGACCTTGGTGCTTGATCTTTTCCCCTACAGAGGCCAAATGAGCTGCCCAATGACTCCGGTGATCCCCATTTTCAACACAGTCAGAGTCAAGCAGTTTGTCAGCACGCTGGATCCTGAGACATCGCCTGTGTGGATCCTTCCCCTCAAGTACAGGCTCATGCTGGATGTTCAATGTGGGATCGAGTGCACCCTCAGCAAGTTTG